GAATCTCTCATTCCTTATACTGTAGGTGTGAATTCAGCTCGTGAACTTTGGGCGAAATTGGAATCAAAACTTGCCACGGCTTCTCAATCTCACATTCATGAGCTTCGATCTCGCCTTCGTAATCTTACCAAAGGTGAATCCACTGCTGCTCATTATCTTCAACAAATTGGGGCTATTGTTGATGCCCTTGCTAGTGCTGGTTCTCCGATTGAAGACTCTGATTTGATCTCGGTCACTCTTCATGGTCTTCCTCCTGAGTATGATTCGTTTGTTGATGCTATTCAATTCCGCCTTGGATCCACCACAATTGATGAATTACATGGTCTGCTTCTTAGCAAAAAGATACAGTTGGCCAATCGCAAGAAGAGTGGATCTGCATTATCATCGTTTCAGGCTCTACAAACCTCTGTTGGTATTCTTCCAATTCCTGCATCAAATCCTAACTCTTAGGCATTTATTGCTCAATCTTCTACCTTTCCTCATCAAGGTTATGGACTCGATCGTAATCACAATCGTGGTAGCTTCAATCGTGGCTCTCCCAGATTTTTTAACAAGCAGAGGTCAAGTAATTTTAATCGCTTCAACAATAACAATCAGCGTTCTAATCGTGGAGGTCGAAATACTTTCTCTTACAACAAGAAAAACTCTTGTCAAATCTGTCGTCAGTTTGACCATGAAGCTTGTGATTGTCCTCATCGCATAAATCCGACCTATGGTGGGAAATCTTCTCATTCAGCAATGGTGGCAAACTCATCTTCCTCCACTCCTACTTGGATTGTGGATTCTGGAGCCACCTCACACATGACCAATTCTTATGCTAATCTCCAAAACCCTGAAGCCTACACTAGTTCTGAACAAGTGTACATTGGTGATGGCAAAGGTTTGCCTATCACTCACTCTGGTTTTACTATTTTGCATACTCCTAATAGTGTGTTTAATCTGAATAAAGTCTTATATGTTCCTGATTTAAAACACAATCTTTTATCTACAAATCAGTTTCTAATTGACAATCATTGCTCATTACATCTTTATCATTCTCACTTCACTGTGAAGGATCTTTCTTCGAGGAGGATGCGTTTTAAAGGACCTGTTCAGCATGGTTTCTATCCATTTCTTTTCTCATCATCACCAACTCGTTCTCCTAAAGCTCTTACAGCCTCTGTGAAAGCCTCACGAGATATCTGGCACAACAGATTGGGTTATCCCTCTGTGAAGATTGTCAATAAACTAGTCTCTTAATCTTGTATTTCAATTTTTCCTAATGCGGCTAAGTTTTTATGCTCAGATTGTGCGTTAGGTAAATACTCTCAGCTTCCTTTTGTATATACTGTTTCTACAACTAGCAAGCCTTTAGAACTCATTCATACTGATGTTTGAGGCCCTTCACCCGTCACATCTTATCAAGGTTTCAAGTACTATGTCATCTTTGTGGATGACTACACAAGAAATTGTTGGTTCTATCCATTGAAATACAAATTTGATGTACTGTCCACTTTTATTCAATACAAATATATGGTTGAAAATGCTTTGTGTACAAAGATTATTGCCTTAAGGTCTGACTCTGGTCGTGAATTCTTGAGTACTTCTTTCTCAGCTTTTTTAGCTCAACACGGTATTCAGCACCAACTTACCTGTCCACACACCGCTGAACAGAATAGGTGTGCAGAACGCAAGCATCGCCATTTAGTGGAGATTGTTCGAACTCTGTTTGCAGCTTCTAAAGTTCCTCACATTTACTGGGTTGAGGCCTTTGCCACTGCCATCTATCTCATAAATCAATTGCCTACAGTTTCTAGATCATCTCCTTAGGAATCCTTATTTCATCGACCACCCAATTATGATTTTATTGAAAATGTTTGGCTGTGCTTGTTTCCCTTGGTTAAAGCCTTATACATCCTCTAAGTTGGATCCTAAAAGCAAGGCTTGTGTCTTTCTTGGTTATAGCTTGAATCATAAGGGGTACCAATGTCTTGATATTGCCACCAACAGACTATACATTTCCCAACATGTTTTGTTTAATGAATCTAGGTTTCCTTTTCATCATCTATTGCCTCACACACCTGCCACAACCTTCCCTTCTAACTCCGTATCCTCTATTCCTTCTACTTTAACCTTTACTTTTCATTCCTCACCTACCACTTCAACTACCACTTCATCTATCACTTCCCCACTACAATTTTCAACTTCCCCTTTACCTACCACTTTACCTTCCTCTTCATCCTTACACTTTGTCCCTTCCATCCCTCCTGTAACAGTCTCAGAACCTATTACCACCAACCCCACCCAACCCATTAACACTCACTAAATGCAAACAAGGTCCAAATCTGGAATTTTCAGGCCTAAAGCCCTCACTACTACTAAACACCCCTTACCTTCTCATCTTTTAGTGGATTATCTACCTACAACCTATCTTCAAGCTTCCAAGTATCATCATTGGTGCCAAGCAATGCAGGAAGAAGTCACTGCATTTCTCACTACTGGAACCTGGTCTCTTGTTCCTTAATCTTCTTCCCAAAATGTTGTAGGATGCCAATGGGTGTTTCGCATTAAAAGGAAACCTGATGGTACTGTCGACAGGTATAAAGCTCGGTTAGTTGCAAAGGGTTTCAACCAACAGAAAGGTCTTGACTATACAGAAACCTTTAGTCCTATTGCCAAACCAGTGACTATTCGGCTTCTCCTTATTCTTGCAGCTCAATATGATTGGTTCTTAAACCAACTTGATGTTAGTAATGCATTTTTAATGGTAGCCTATCTGAATCAGTGCTCATACACTAGCCTCTTGGTTTTGAAGATTCTACTAAGCCCTCTCATGTGTGTCACTTGTACAAATCATTGTACAATTTAAAACAAGCTCCGCGAGCTTGGTATGAGAAGCTCCATGGGGCTCTTCACTCTCTTGGTTTTGTAGGATCCCCCAATGATCATTCTTTGTTTATTAAAAAGGCTCCCGATTTGGTTTTCATTCTCATCTATGTGGATGACATTTTGGTCACTGGTCCTAATGCTGGAGCATGTAAACAAGTGATTCAACAACTCAGATCTTTATTTGCTATCAAAGATCTTGGAACTCTCCATTACTTTCTTAGCATTAAAGTCAAAAGATCTTCTTTAGGAATCTTTATATCTCAGACCAAATATATCTTGGATTTGTTATCCAAAGCAAATATAGCCGGGGCTAAACCATGCAGCACACCCCTTAGCACCTCTAAACTTGATCATGAGTCTCCCTTACTTGATAATATTACTAAGTATCGTTCTTTAGTTGGTGCTCTTCAATATCTTACCTGGACAGGACCAAATCTTAGTTTTGCAGTCAATCTTGTCTGCCAATTCATGCACAGCCCCAGGCTTTCTCATTTTCAGGCTGTTAAGCACATTCTCAGGTATCTTAAGTTTATGATTCTCCAAGTGTTCTACTCCTCCAACTATTACTGCGTTCTCTGATGCTGATTGGGCCGGTTGTGCCCTTGACAGAAGATCCACTGGAGGTTATTGTGTTTTTCTGGGCAACTCCTTAATTAGTTGGAGTGCTAAGAAGCAACCAACGGTCGCTCGCTCCTCCACTGAGGCCAAATACAGATCACTTGCAAATACTGCTTGTGAACTTACCTGGATTTGTAAATTGCTTGTTGACATTGGTTATTCCTTGCCTAACTCTCCTCAACTATGGTGCGATAATGTTTCTACTATATCTCTTGCTAAAAATCCGGTCTTTCATGTTCGGACCAAGCATGTGGAAATCGACTATCATTACATTTGGGAAAGAGTTTTGGCCAAGCAGATTTCTGTGCATTTCATTTGCACTCAAGATCAGGTGGCAGACATTTGTACCAAATCTCTTTCCAAGTCCAGGTTTTTGTATCTTCGTGACAAACTATAGCTTCGAGTACCTCAACTTCGTTTGAGGGGGGATATAAAGGATAATATTGTAACTACACTATCTAGAGATATTACTTAGTGGTTAAGATTTCTGTTTGAGTTACTTTCTGTTTGTCTAGAGGTTACAATATACTTTTATATAAATACTCAACGTGTAAGATTATTTTCTAATGAATGAAAACATATTTTATCTAATATCCCATTTATCAATACTAACTGAAATTTATTTTAATATCTTAACAACCATCCAACGGCTTAGTACACAAAGTCGAATACTGCAAAATCTAGTCCAACCACATAGACATTGACTCGAAAGGTGTAGTGAATGAAACCACATCTAGACCAAGTTGCTGTGGCAATCTAAGAGATTAATCAGATGTAGTGACTATGGATGCAAAATAATTTAGAGAACTTTTTGAAGTTATTCAGTTAAATATTGATGTGCTAAGTCAATTTTGACTTCGTAATTGAGGTTTTGTTCTTACCAAAACAAAGGCTGCATTTTTCTTTTGACTAAATTCCACCGCAACAAAACTACGCTCCTCTAACAATTTGGTCCAAATCTAACTTAGACAAAGTTCTTAGCAGTTTCCTCAAACACACCAAGCCGTGGGACCAAAGAAAGCTATCACACCAACAACCAGTCTAACGATGGCTTCTCTTTTTCAAGCGACTCACTTTTTCGAGAACACGACTAAGGTGACCAAGGTCCTAAGACAGCCCCTCTTAGGCCCCATGATCGAGAAGTTGACTGGTTGATAGTTTTGATCAAGCCTAAATGTGCGGCCATGATTTGACTTTCATACATTGTGTGTCTTCCCATCCAAAAATTATCTAGAAATGAATTAATCAGCTACGCGTAGCTTAATTAATTAGTCAATTGGCATGACGAAGTCATGGCTTAATTAGAAATCTTGAACTTAGTCAACTAGAGATTCTCAACACCTATATATATGTGCACAAACGCTCATCAACATTATCCAAAACATAAACGCTTTCAAACACATTTAGATCGATCAATTTGCTATTCAAATTAAAAGTTCAGCTAGCCAACCATTAAACACAACAGCACAATCTCCCCTCTTTGTATCTAGCAATATCAATTTATCGGTTGTTCCATGGAGAAGCCAGAAGGATATCCACAAGTAGATGATATTGCCACATGTAACGAGCCATCAAGTGCAAGCACTTCGTTTTTCGGAACCAAGAACGACATGTCACTGCTCGAGAGCGGCCTACTCCGGAGAAATGTTGGTGACATAGGTGACACTTGCTACAGATTTCAGTCAAAAATTGGCAAATCAGTTGATCCAAGGTTGCTAGCGCTGGTGGAATTCTTTAGAGAACTTTACTTTCGAAGAGTTGAACTATTCAATAGAATATTTCCGGGGGTTCAGGATAAATTAACTATTGTGGGTGTGGCATTAGCTCAAATGAAATCGGATCAAACCAAAGCACATCGGACAATGCAACGGAGTCTAAGTATTGGTTCGCCGCGTGATTTCAAAAGAAGAGAATCCGAAATGAGGCTTCAGCGATTCAAGGTCAGGACTATCGTTGTAGATGATGTCGTTGATCAAACTGCTAAACCCGGTGGTTCCAAGTGATCAATGGCCTGCAGAAGAATCGTCGTGGTGGAGAATGTATTCACTTTTTGATGGGATATTATTCTTTTGTATAGAAAAACAATGAATAATGAGGTGAACCATTTTGACCAAAAAAGAATGAGGTGAACATATAATTAAACCTTATTTTGTAATGATTGATTTATTTCTTTAATGATAGAATAAATCTAACCATTAAACGCACCCCACCGAATTTTGTTAATTAATTAATTTCTTTAATTGAATTATTTCTTTGAAAAAATAATCATTAAAGAAATAAATCAATAGTGCTAAACCATCAACCATAACCTCCGATGTTTTTTTTTTTTTGTCTTTAAAAAAAAAATGAAGGATATCGTGACATCTAACATTTTACATCCTATAGTTGAGAATAAGTGTTTTTTAACAATAGCGCTTGGATCACTTGGAAGTGAGAGATCTTATGTTCGAATCTCGTGAATGGCGAGTTTGATACCAAATTAGGTTGCACATAGTGTGGTTTAGCTAAACCTTCCCTTCCCTTAGTGAAAATATCAATGTACTCAAAAAAAAAAAAAGAAGAACAATAGCACTTAAATTTTCCACCTTACTATATAATAGCACGTATTAGCCACTCAGTACTACGGTCTAGTGGTATTCCTCTTCATTTGTAAGTAAGAGGTTTTAGGTTCAATTTTTGCCATAGGTGAATTTGAACCAAATTATTGTTAGTCCATTATAAGGCTAAGCCCACCGCCTCTTCCTTAGTGTAGAAAATATCGTTTGTTCAAAAAAAAAAAAATAGCACGCATTAATTGGAGATTATCAAGGGAATGTTTCAGTTCAACTTAATGAGTTTAGTATATCCTTCATATGTCGTATCTATCTATACTATTATTAATGTGTTATGGGATACCTTACGTTCAAAAAATTGTAAATTGATTTTTTTCAAAAATTAAAATACATAGAACCACTTAGTACTATCATATTATGGTTTACTGTGGTAGGATACCTTTTATATTATATTCGATTCTCGTTAAAGACAAAATATAATATATTAGGATGCAAATATCTAAATTTTATATTTTTAGATACTTTTTCTTACCCTTTGATGTAATATTGTAGGTATTAAAAAATGATAAGGTATTGCTATTTAGTGCTACGATCTAGTGGTATTTGAACCACAATATTGCTATTTGCTAGCCCAGTGTGAGAAATCTTAAATTCGATTTTCACTGAAGATGAATTTGAACCATATTATTTTTAGCTTATTATGAGGCTTAGCCTACTCTCTCACTCCCTTAGTGTAGATAATATTGTATGTTAAAAAACATGATAAGGTACTAGTGTGTTAATTATACATATAGATCCCTACAACAATTTGTTTGACCATACTTATTACAAATTTTATAGTATTAATGATACATTATCTTTTCGTTTTTAGTTTTTCTTGAACGGTCGCTGGTTTCGAATGTATTAAATACGAAACTGTTTTTTCAAATTCTCACCTATAATATTGAAAGTGATTGAATCTCCTGCGTCGTTAATTACGAAGTTCATAAGAGTTTTGGCGTATAAATAAACTAGCTCGCAAAACTCAATCCAAAAAATTAGTCAAATGCAATTGGTGCTCCAAGTATTATGGCTAAGATGAGTATTAATTATCTTCTGGTGATTTTGATCTTTGCGAGTCCATTTGGGGTTATTTTTGCAGTCCCAACTGCCGAGTCTTCAAATTTGCTGACTTTGGATGAATGTAGAAAATATTTCTCCGTCAAGTGTGAGTTGGAAGTGAGCAAAAGTATTTTTAAAGAGGCTGTTGTGAGTGATGGTTGTTGCTATCTTCGTGTGTCTCTGGGTAAGCAATGTCACGACCTGTTCGTCAACGAGGCAATTGCCTCTAGGCCCAATGTCGACAAATCTCAAGCGCTGGCTATGAGTAAACAAATCTGGGAACAATGTCTTGCATCTATAGCTCCGCCAACGAGGAAACACTAAGCCCAACTCTATATTTCTGTTGGTATTCACAAGAGTTTACTAACTCAATACCAAAATATGTGGGTGATAAGTTTACAAACTCTATCACACCTCTCACTTTCACTCTCAATAAAATTGGACAAAGAAATAGAGAAAGGAGGGAAGCAACAAGCTTTGATAAAACACTTGGACTTTGATATATGAAAGAAGTAGCAAGCTTGGTGATAACAAACACTTTGAAATATTAGAAGAGTTTACAACTCTTAAAGCTTACAAGCTGAAAATGAGAATGGAAATGGGATTTGGATGGGATGCTATAAAGCTTAGCAAGATGGCCTATTTATACAAAACAGAAATTGATAAACAATGCAACAACACATGCAATGAATGGGGTGTTTAACATCTTTACACCCTTTAAAACACATGCAAGAACTTTGGACAGTCTAGCACACATATGCAGCTATCTTTCCAGCTTGCAATCAACACTCTTTCGGCTAATACACAGCAGCACATTGCTGTCTTCCTGCTGTCTTCCTGCTGGCAGCACACTTGCTGTCTTTCATCACCATTTCAGCTAGCACATGGAGGAAACTTTAGTCTTTGTAGTTGCAACATGTGTGGATACAACCTGTAAAGAAACTAACAGCTAGAAGCAACCTTTTACAGCCTGTTTTTATTTGAATTTCCAACAATTTCATCCATATGCTTATCTGAAAGAGTGTTTCTTTTTGTAGTGAATGTTGTTGTCTGCACTCTTGAATGATCATCTTGTACTCTTCTTATGTGTGTTTGCTTTTAATTCTACTCCTCACTTATTTTTCTGTGTGCTTAGTGTGTGAAATATATATATATATATATATATATATATATATATATATTTTAGTTGATTCATCACTATTCGTTTCCTTTCTCCATTTAACTTTGATGGCATGTTTACCAAACGGGATTGAAGTGAGAAGAAACGGAATCAAACCCTCCCAATGCATTCGAGCGTTTACTAGGATTCACGGAATGAGAAAGTAAGTGGAGTCCATTTAAAATACATATGCAGATGTAGTATTCAGGTTCTGGTAATAAATAAGGTAGTGAACGTCACCATCACTTAAGGGTGGTGAGCAAAAATATGTATTAAGAGACCGCGAAAGAATTTGAACCCGAGATGTAATAGTTAGAGAGCAAGTCCCTAACACAATCCACCTTAGGAGTAATTGAATTATGTTTTAGTTGAGTTTATAAAACACCAAAAGAAAATTGTGATGCCACGCCAATGAGCAGCTTGAAGATTGGTTCTTCTTCTCAATTTTGCAAGTTATCCATTTTTCCAAGAAACGTGTATATATACATTACATCATGAACAGGTGTGCAGAGTCGTATGATCATACGACAGCCCAAATTAGGCCCCATGATCAAATGGATTAGCAGTCTTTGGTTTTGATCAAACCCAAATATGTGGCCATGATTTGGTCAATTTCGTGTCTCCCAATCCAAAAATATGTCTAGAACCCAATCAGCTACGCGTAGCCTAGTTGGCATGGAGACAAAGTCATGGCTTGCTTTGAAATCTTGAACTAGTTTCCTAAACCTAAACCCTATATATATGATTACCCCATCCAAAACCAAAGATAAATCCCACGGAAAGCACATTGAGATCAATCAATTTGCTGAAAAGAATTTGCAGAAAACCCTAATACACAACTCAACCCCATTCTCTTTTACATATATTTTCGAAGATCCATTGTTACATCCATGGAGAGGCCGGAAGGATATCCCCAAGTAGATGATATTGCTACATATACAGAGTCATCGAGCACGAGCACTTCATTTTTGGGCACCAAGAATGATATGTCACAGCTCGAAAGCGGCCTACTTCGAAGAAATGTTAGCGACTTAGGCAACAGTTACTACAGATTCCAATCCCAAGTTGGAAAGTCTGTTGATCCAAAGTTGTTGGCGTTGGTAGAGTTTTTCAGAGAACTTTATTTTCGAAGGCTGGAACTGTTCAAGAAAATATTTCCGGGGGTTCAAGATAAGTTTCTTGAGGTGCCAAAGAAATTGCATGTGATATTAGCTCAAGTGAAACCGGATGAAACCAAACTAGCTCGAACTATGCAACGGAGTCTGAGTGTTGGTTCACCGCGGGATTTCAAAGGAGGGGAATTGGAACTTAGGCTCGAGCGATTCAAGGTGAGGACTATTGATACAGGCGATGGTGTTGTACAAGGTGGCCTGCAGGGTGGTAAACCGGCCAAATGATCTGGTGGTTTCCAATAGGGGAAACAGGAAGGAAGATACCAAAAAATGGAATTGTCAATGGTTTTGTATTTTTGGAGAATATTTTGACATTTTGATAGGATGTTCTTTAATTAGTACAGATAAGGATGATCAATAATGGGGTGCTGGCGAAATAAGATATTCTTTTATTTATTTATTTATTTATTTATTTATTTATTTATTAATGTTTTTGAGGTTTGTTAGTTGTTACCGATTTTGTGTACCTGACAATGTAAATAGGTTTTTTAAATATTTTTTTGTACAATAATAATGCAATAATCTTGTATGTTCGCCTCTACAAATAGACGAATATTCGAAATTTACAAATACTATTGTTGTTAGTCTTCAATCTTCATAACTTAATATATGGATTTTCAGAAGATGTATGTGACAATGATATAAGTTGTATATAAATTTACATGCAATAGTTGGTTTCAAGTTGTCCAGTGAAATGGGTTTGAATAATGACTGATATTTTTTTTACGTGGTAGAACTCCACATATAAGGAGGAAAATTCACGGGGATACAACCGACTATTGAATCCACCAGAAAAAAAAAAAAAAAAAAAAAAAAAAAAAAGGACTTGTACAAGACTCAGTGGCGGAACTAAAATTTTAGGTGAGGAGAGACCTCACATAAATGTTAAAAAGAATTAAATAAAGAGAATTGTTATTGCACTCCGAAATTCTCATTCTGCATTCCAAACTTTATATATTTAGAAAGAAAAAGACATGCTTGGAGCTATGCTAATTAAATTTTTTGAGGCTCTAAATTTT